CCAGTGGGCGTGGCCTCCTGGCTCCAGGTGAGAATCGACCTTTCCAGACAGTGCTGTGGCCACGGTCAGGTTGCCATAGCATTGACGATGAAAACCGAACCTATACGCACGGCAGCAAGTAATCACGCGCCAAATGTTCATTCTTTTGCTCTCTTGTGGACTGGGTGAGCAGATGTTTAGTCGTTGGATTCTGAGAAGGCTTATGTTTCGTTATGTTTATGCAGTGGTTTCCACTCTATTAATAGCATGTCCATTTTTGCAGCAAACTTCCTCAACCATTAAGGCCAATTTCCATTAAAAATTGTTTTCAAAAATTATCCAAAGAGAGACAGAGTTGTTGCTTTTCTATAGATAGAATTTCTGATTTCCTTGAAGCCTATGCTGACATCTTTCAGGCAAGCAGGAGTGTGCCCATTTGCGGAGCTGCAGGAAATTTTAATATGTAGGCTGGTGACAATCTGTACTACCTATCAGCACAGCATCTAAGTGCATAGGCCAGGGTAACAAGAAGAAAGGAGGATAAACTTCTCCTGGGACTCTGGTCGATTTGTGTGCCAAGCGGAATTTTTAATTTGGAGAGCAATTCTGCAAAAATGAACAGAAACTGCTATCTAAACATTTTAATAAGAATAAACCCCTGAGCCAATATGCAATTGAGTGCAGTGCTTTCTAGTCATTTCATTTATACAACAGCTCCACAAGCTGTTTCTCTCTCCATATTCAGATAACCCTCGCCTCTAGGGTGACCAGAAAAATGATATTTTAATAATGGGCCACATCTGTGATCAGAAATACTTAATGAAACACTCTCATGATCATATGGGTAACAAGCTTCAAAGAACTCTTTTCTAGATTTAGACAGGACCTGTTCGCTTCTTGTGGTAATTTTTCAATATCGTCTGCAAGGAATCATTACCCAAAGACACATGCTTGGCCTGAGGTCCAGCGTTTTTTTCAGCTAGGAGACCTTGCTGGCTCCCACAGAACTTCTGGACCGGTGCTGTCCAATAGAAATATCGATACAACGCCAGCTGCATATGGAATTTAAAATTTTCTAGTCATCACATTAAGGAACGTAGAAAGAAACAGGTGCAATTAATTCTAATTAATGAATGAATGCATTTTGTTTAACACAACATATCCACAAGATTATCATTTGGATGTGTAATCAATATAAAAACATTCTTAATGGGATATTTTACATTTTTTATATTACGTCTTCAAAATCCGGCGTGCGTTTTCCATTTACAGCCCATCTCCATGCCGACAAGCCAAGTTCAAGGGCTCCATAGCCACGTGTGGCTATCGTATTGGGTGGCGCAGCTCTAGAGCAAAGGAAGGTAGTCTGCAACCACTCACATCAGGAAAACCCTGAGAATCTGAATAAGAAGGTGAATTCCTGGGCCCTGTTCATGACCTACCAAATCATATCTCTGGGGGTGGCACTGAGGGATTTGCATCTTTTAACAGCTCCGTAGCTGGAGCTTTGCTTAGTAAAACTTGAGAACATCCGTTAGGCTCCCTGTCCCAACTTATAGTCCTTCAGATATCACCACCACAGCCCTCACTGTTCCTGACCCAGGCTCCTCGCCTTCCCCAGTCAATAGAAATTGACTAGAGGCCAGACAAGAAATTCAGGCAAGGCTCTACCGGGGCCCCTGCTGCAGCAGCGGGGAGGGAGAACAAACAACAGGTTCCCTTGCTTGTTCGTTCCCGAGGCGGGGCAGGCTTGTTTCTTACAGGGGGTGAGAGTGAGGTGTGTCCAGGGGTCGGGCCGGAAGGGTGGCTTAGGGAGTTTGCCCACCCCTTAGGTGGTGTTGTGTGCAGGGGGAAGGCTCAATACCCTGCTTTTGCTCCGGGCTCTTCAAAAGTGGCGGTTGAGTTTGTTTGGTTTTTTTTTGGTCTCTGTATCTTCTGGGGCCAGAATTTGCCCCAACTGCACATGCACACAGTCATTTTTAGTCCCATACAGTTTCTCTCTATTTTGTAGCTGGAGGAGAGGTGTGTCCACGTGCAAGCACTGCAGCACCGCAGCAAAGGGTCCAGGTCCCAGGCCTGTCTCACCACCACACATCATATAAACCAGGAGATACAACCTCACCACCCAGTCTATTCTGTTATTGGCTCACAAGCGTCTCTTGAGCACTGATCATGTCCAGCACTGTTCTCGGCAATAAACAATGGGGGGGGGGGGGCGCTTCCCTGGTGGCGCAGTGGTTGAGCGTCCGCCTGCCGATGCAGGGCATGCGGGTTCGTGCCCCGTCCGGGAAGATCCCACATGCCGCGGAGCGGCTAGGCCGGTGAGCCATGGCCGCTGAGCCTGCGCATCCGGAGCCTGTGCTCCGCAATGGGAGAGGCCACAACAGCGAGAGGCCCGCGTACAGCAAAGAAAAAACAGAAACAAAACCAAAAAACAATAGGGGTGTTGCTCTGGGGTATTTATTGCTCTGGGGTAGAGCAATAAACAGTAGAGGCAGTGTCCCTGCCCTTTGGAAGCTTACATTCCAGTGTAGGAGGCAAAGAATAAACCAGGGAAGGGGTAAATAAGTGGTCTGATTTCTGGTGGTGATGGGTACGGACAAGAAAAGCGGGAAGGCAGGAGGACAGGGGGTGAGGCGGAGGAAGGATGGGCTTCTATGCAGGCGCAGTGCGGTGGTCTTGGGGGCTCTGGGAAGACATGACCACGGACACTGAATGAAAGGATGAAGGGAGCCCCGGAGCAGTCTGGGAGGAGCGCACTGCGTTAGAGCCGGCAGCGCGACGCCTGTGATAGTCAATGCACTTAACTTCAAACGTCGAAGTGCGTGGGATTTCATTCTGCAGCAACAGAAAACGAATGTAGCAATAATGAATATAATAAATATAGCAATAATAATCTTCAGCACTTATTATATGGTAAACTTATTCAGTTGCTTTATCTCATTATTCCTCACAACACCCCGTAAAGCTGGCACTGTTATTAGCCCAGTTTAGCACATGGGAAGACGGCACAGAACTGAGGACGTGACAGAGCAGGGGTCCAGCCGAGGCCGGAACTCTGCAGAGAGTTTGGTCACTGTGCACCGCTGCCTCCTATTAGGGGCGGGGTCCCTCACGCAGGAGCTCTGCGCCTGAGCGCCCCTTCTTCACAATGTGGAGGAAGGCTGCTCTACCCACGTCTCATCCCCCTGGTGCCTCCGCCCTGCCCGGCCTGCCCAGGCCACGGCCTGCAGAGCCTCCTCTGATGGGCCACCACATTGCTTCCTCTCCTGCCCGCTGCAGGCCCCATGGCCAGTTTGGCCTCTGGGATAAGGTGCCCCCAGGCTCCACTGGGCATATTCTGGCCTAGCCCACCCTTAGGGTGACCGACTCTTCTTGGTTTCCCAGGACTGTCCCAGTTTTAAAAACAAAAGCCCCACCTTCCAGGAAAGCCCTTGGTCCCAGGCAAACTGGGATGATTTCTCACCCTACCATCCTCTGAACCAACCGAGGCTGAGGTAGGCACAGGGGCCACTTGCATCCTGCAGCTTGCCGTGACCTTTCCTGTCACCAAGATGCAAAGAAAGGCCCGGCTAGGATACTGAGTCCTGCTCCCGCCCCGAGAGCTGAGAGCAGAAGCAACTCCACTGAGGCAACTGGCTCCTGCTGGATGTGGGGTCTTCAGCCCGGACCCTCAGACAGGCTAGGAAACCATGACCCCGTGAGGACTGTTCCCGTGAATTGAGAGACCTGCTTGCCTTGAGCATCACGCATGCAACACGTTGATGCAGACATCACTGAGGCCAGACTCCACGTGCCCGTCCACTCTGCTCCCAACAGGAGAGAGCTGGGGGGAGAGTTGGCCCCCATCCAGCCCCATCCTCCCTGTGCTGGTGACCATGATGCAACTCGGCTGGGGGTAAAGGGGGCTCATCTACTGCTGGTCACCTCAACTGAGAGCTCAGTCCCGACGAGCTGGCTTCTCTCCATTGGGTGTCCTAGACTCCTGAGCACACCCTGCTGTCTTCCAAATTGTGCTTTTTCTGTCAAGGGACAGCAGGTGTGACAGTGGTTGGACCACTACGAATCTGTACCTGATACGGGAAATGGCTCCACACACATACTTTATTAAGTATTACCAGCCAGTGACCATGAACTCATGCACTTACTTTATTCATTTGTTCCACTAATATTTGGGGACCCCTACGATGGGTCTGGCATCATCTTAGGCTCTGACACTGAGTTACAGCACATTTTAAACCGAATGATACAGAGTGCTGGGCACGATGCTAGCACATAAAGGTACCAACCTAGTTCTCGTGGGGTGTGGGTAGGGGGCACACATTCAACAAAAGATTCTCAAGGAAACAAAAGGTTCTTAAGGAAGTTTGTCCATAGGAAGGATTGTTTGTTTGTTTTTGCATTTATCCCCAATTTATTTATCTCATTAAAACTGTTAGAAAAAAATCTTGATCTCATACGACTCACGCCTACTGTCCCCTACAATACATCACTGTACAGGACGTTTTCTGAGTTCCCAAACAGTCTGAGCCATTGGGTGCCTGCTACGTGCCAGCCTCTAAGCTTGGCACAGGAAAAGGAAAATAAACAGGGACATTCAAGAGCTGACGATTTAGTGGGGATGGGCGGCACATACTAAAAACACCTTGACATTGCGATACGGATTTGCTGCGGTTGAGACGTGCACAGGGTGCTGTGCTGGGGGTCAGGGGCAACACCAGACCAACCTGGAAAAGGTAGTCTTCAGTTGTGTCCTGTCTCTTTCTTTGTTTCGTGGTATTTTTTTGCCACTTAAAAATTTTCAAATAATACATGAAAATATAAATAAGAGATTAACACTCCAAATCTCTTCACCCAGAGATAATCACACTTGACCACTGGCGACCTTCCACGTGTGTGTGTGTGTGTGTGTGTGTGTGTGTGAAGACAGCGTATTTTTTTATCATCACCATTAAGGTCAAGGAAAACTACGCAGTTATTCAACTGTAGCAATTTACCCACGTAAAACTCAACCACCAGCCTCGCATATGTGTCTGCATTTTATTTTAGGAAAACATAAATCGGGTCACAACACATCTTCGGAAAGCAGGATAAGTAAGAAACACACAGACGGGATCTGAAGAGCAAATCTGGTGCCACCGTCACGTTCCAGGGCGGAGCTGACGTGAAGATATTCTCTTCCAGGAAAAGTGAGGTTCGCTCAAGCTGCAAAGCCCAGAGGGTCAGCAGATTTACAGCATCGTTTAAAGGGTTGAGTTATGACGGCTTCTAGGGACTGATTAGCTGAGCACACCCACCCGGAATTCAGTTAGGGGATGAGGAGGAGGGGGGAGATGGTGGTGGCGATCGTCTTCATGTAGTTTTCAAAGTCACTTCCGAAAAGGAGGATGAGGAAATAGTTGAGTATCCCAGCCAGGGACATGAGGAACAGGAACAGGATGATGCGTTTCCCAAATATGTAGCCACGTGTGCTGGAAAAAAAAGGGAAGAGAAAACTGTAGAGGCAGCACAAATGATACCAATTTAACAAGAAACGTTATCACGTTGAGGTACATGGGGTTTAAATACAGCTCCTTTTACTCAAGAATGCTCCATTTACTTTCTATGAAGGATGGAAGTGTCTTAGCTACTATTAGTCATTGAATCTATTTCAAAACCAAGCTAAGAGAGCCTCACGCCCATCACCATTAGGGCTCTGCTCTCCGGCTTCTCAGTGCCATCGGCACGCCAGCTCCTGGACGGCGTGAGGGTGGTGGCTTCTGCTGGTCCGCGGGGTTCTGACCGGGGACTAGGAACCCATGGGCTGCCTGAGACCCTCTCCAGGAGCGCCTGTAGGAGCTGTGCTGGCCAGCGTGTAGCATGCAGGACTTTCAGGGCCTCTATGTGAGAAGGATGGTTTCAATGAGCCAAGAAGCCTGGTGGCATCTAAGCGGTGCGTTGGCATCTGAGGGCTCGATCTAGTCTCCTGAGGCTGCCTGGGAATAACTCATGTTCGCTCTAACGAGAGCCAACCCCCAGCACCGGAAGGCAGGCCCTTACAATGTAAGTGAATCAGGGGAGGGAGACGTTTCCTCGCCTTCTCTCAGAGGCTCAAAATCCTAAGCCGCTTGGACAGAGCATCAGCTGGGGTCAGGAGGCGTCTCCCCAGTGACATGTGACCACCTAGCTGTGCATAGGGGCTGCCCTGGCTTCCTCTCTCCCCTGCAGCATCCTCCTGTGACGGCTGTGGCTGGTCCATCTGTGCAGCACCGGCACATGTGGAAAGTCCAGCCAAGTGAGTCTCTAAGGCTGTTAGTAAAGACCCCGGCGAGGGGCCCCTTGGCAATCAGGAGTGCTCCCCGAGATCAGCCAGCTCAGCTAAACAGACGCCTTAATGCTGCTTGGCCCTTGTTTGCTACAATCAGAGAACAGAATGTGGCATCCACAGGCTCGACGTTAGAAATTTTACCGTTTTGAAAGGGACCCCAAAGGTTTATAATGCATCTCCTAATATTCCTGTGTCGAGCATTTGAAAATCATTCCACAGTTGAGCATGAACGTCCTCGCTGCCCACAGTGTCCCGTGCACCAGCAGCACAGACACCTGTTGGAAATGCAGAATCCCAGGTCCCTCCCCAGATCCACTGGGTCAGAACCTGCGCCACTGACGAGCTCCCTCTGTGACTCCCGGGCCCAGTAAAGTCTGGGAGGCACTGCCCGCTGCCAGCACCCTGCTCCTTTTTAGCCGGCTGTGTTCCCCTGTCTTTGGTTTCCTGTTCACGGTCCTGCTCAGGAAGGGACACATTCTAGCTCTTTGTTGGGGAAAAAAAAGTTTGGTCCCAAAAGAAAAGCGAGCTGAACTGTATCCCCCGCATTCACGTCATACCGCAGAATGACTATTTAGAAAGAGGGTCTTTAAAGAGAAGTAATTAAGGTCAAACGAGGTCACTGGGGTGGACCCTAACTCACCATAACTGGTGTTCTTATAAAAAGAGGTGAAGACACAGACATGCACAGAGGGAAGACCACTGAGGACAAAGGGAGAAGACGGCCGTCTGCAAGCCAAGGAGAGAAGCCTCAGAGGAAACCAACGCCCCCGACATCTTCGTCTTGGACTTCCAGCCTCCAGAACTGTGAGAAAATGCGTATCTGTTGTTTAAGCCCCCCAGTCTGTGGCACTGTGTTACGGCGGTCCTCAAAGACAAATACAGAGAATTACCTGCTAATGCTGATAAGGAACTGAAAAGAAAGCAAACGAGTCTATTTTTCAGCCAGAGAACAGAGGCTTCAGAGAAATTAAATTGTTAAAAGTCAACTATTGTGACTCAGATTTCTCACACGAATGAGGCCACCATATGCTCATTACAGAAACAAGGAAAAGTGATTTGTGAAGCTATTTCAGAACCTGCTCAAGATAAATCTGTGGCGAAGGATGAAACGGGAGTACCTCCTGATGAAACAGTGGTGTTCTTGATTTGGGTAGGAAGTTTCTAAGGATTCGAGGCATAGCTCCCCTAAGGAGATGGGTCTATGGTGCTTTAACTCTTCCCAGACAAGAACTCAGCACGCTGTCACGTGCAGGGCTACGTGTGAAGCGGGGGGGGGGCCCGTCCAGCCCTTCATTCACTGCATTTTTAAGTCTCAAGCTTGGAGATGGGCTTTTGAAAACTGTGTCCATTATCATTTCTGTAAGCTCAATATTTGGGGTCTTGCATGGTGCCCCTGACTCTGGGAGATTCCCAGGTCTCTGCCATGCTTACTGTTATCACCTCACAACTGACACAGTACCTGCTCAGAGCAGGTGGTCAGTAAAGGTCCTGAATGATGCTGAGTGAACGAGGGGGGCGTAGGCAATGAGGAGAAGGTGGGCTTGGGTAACCCGAATTCACAGGCCTCGAGTCGCAGCCAATCTTTGCCCAACCAGCTCTGAGCTGAGAACTTCAAATTGCAAAGAGGAACGTAGTGGGAGCTCCACCAGGGAACAGGGCTCTGAGGGACAAGCAGACAGAGCAGCCTAGATGCCAGGCAGGTGGTAAAAGGCAGATAGTCTTGTAACATCAGGCCAACTGCCATTGAGTTTGGGCCCAGATAGTAGCTCAGAAGGAAAGGGGAAGAAACTAAAATTCACCCTACACTGCAGGGTCGTTAAGGATGCTACTGACGACCTCATCAGGACAGGGAGAAAGGGGTCACCGTGTAAGGAGAAGGACTGAGAATAAGAGCCATAACTTCTAGGAGGAGTAAAGGAGACAGATGTAAAATTCTTGCAGGGCAGCCTGAAGCCGGAAGGCGAGGAGTGACTTACCCACCCACTGGACCAAAAATGACACTGGAACTTCTGCAGGGGTCAGAGCCAAAAGATGATCTAGAGCCCAGGGGAGAAAGTTCTGGGGCAGGAGCTCACTGAGCAGTAACCTCCATGCGCTGGTGAGACCAAGAACTAAAGCAGGTCTGGAGGGCATTAAGGCATCTGCAGAGTCCAAGGGTGACACAGCCCAGGGACAGAGGACGGGGGAAGGAGAGGAGTCTACAGCAGAAGAGGGATTAGCAACTAGTTTCTAGAAGGCAGAATTAAAAACCCCCTTGACCTGGGGACTTCCCTGGCAGCCCAGCGGTTAAGACTCTGCGCTCCCAATGCAGGGGGCATGGGTTCGATCGCTGGTCGGGAAACTGAGATCCCGCATGCCCCACGGCACAGCAAAAAAAACAAAAAAATCCCCTTGACATGACCACAGAGGCCCTCAGGCTATATTTTGGTCTAAATTAGGATCAGACACTTCAACTAGTGTGTCTCATTTCTGCTGACGACAACTGCCCAGAACGCTGTGTTGAGAAAGCATTGTGAGGCCGTGCTAGGTCTCGGCGGGAAGGAGCACGATGATGACTAGTGACGCATGTGCAGGGGCGGTGAGAAGGGTCCAGCACTGGCACGGACAGTGGGCTAAGGGGCGATGGGATCTTCTTCCCACCACCTGATGGGGGAGACCAGGGAGGGATTTAAGCGCACAGGCCTCATTTCAATGAGGTCGAGAGACGTGTCCATTTTTAAGTCTATTTTCCTGTTGTGTATTCTTGTTCATTCCCTAGTAGTGACTACCTTTGAAATGAAAAGAGCCTGTGGGTAAGCGGACATATTTTGTCATGTCCCACAGAGTGTCTTGGAATTAAAGCAACTTTAAGGGAATTCCCTGGTCGTCCAGTGGTTAGGACTCCGTGCTTTCACTGCCGTGGCCCCGGGTTCAATCCCTGGTCGGGGAACTAAGATCCCGCAAGCCACGCGGCGTGGCCAAAAAAATTAAAAATTAAAGCAACTTTAAGATCTCAGGCAAGTGGTGACGGATAAAGAGGAGACCAGTGACTGGGCTGAATTCCTGGGACTTTGGGGGAGGAAGACGGGGCTTCGGGGGAGCCAGCCGGGAGAGCAGAGCCCCTCATTTCATTGATTGTTATTCTGCCCCCTTCGACTCTGGACAACAGGTAAACCTCTGGGGAAAGGCAGAATAGCGGTTTTCCAGGATAAAGAAGAATAAAGAATATCACTGAGGACAGCGTTGATAAGGACGTGCGAGGTAATGGAGTTGTGGTTTTAGAGGATAAACAAAAACGCCGCTAGAGAGGAATGAGGGGGAGGTGAGCTTGGAGGAGACTTGCTGGGGGTACCACCATTCCTCTCCGGCCGCAGCTGACCATCCAACCACCGGAAATCACTCAGCTTCGCAGGCCCCCGGGTTCCCCAGAAGCAGTGCTTTCACCTGGTGACCTTCTGGGATGGCACTGCCTTTGTCACCGCTGAAGGAGGCTCTCTGAACGGAGAGTCCCTTATCCACTAGAGGGGGCGCTATTGTGAGAGACAGAGAGAAGTGAAGCCAGGCAAGGGAGAGACATGGAGCCGGAGGCTGGGGTCAGTGTGTGGGCGGAGCTCCCAGAGCATCTTCCCAGCCTTCAGAGCCCATCAGGAATTCTGATCGCTCAGGAACTGGTGGAAATTGTAACTCAAACATTTCTTCTTCAAGTATTATCATTTATTTTACTAAAATCCAGCCTTCCCAACCCAGGTCTAGGGAAAGTACAATTGCCACTTTGGGCGACATCTGTAAGCAGCGCAGTGGTGACTCTATCCACTGGCTCCGTCTGATGCCTGCTAGTGCATCTTACTTTCTCAACATTCTTTCCGCTGGTCCCCGGATGATCTGTTACTCAAGGGAACTCATCACAAGGTGCAAGCTTTAGTTCTCGTTTCTCTAGGCAAACAATGAAATGTTTCACTCACTGGAGGCCTTGGGAAGCCAGACAGAGACCGTCATTCAAGCCCCAGACTCTGCAGGGTGGGAGTAGAGGGTGTGGGGTTGCAAAGAATGCGTTAAAGCATCCTTTGTGAGCCCAGCACCGTGTGGGGGAATTTTTAAATGGGAAAACTAGTCAAGGGCCCCAGCTATATTTCAGAACCAGCAAAGCTCAAGGAGAAAAGGACGAGGGGTCCTAGTCGGCCTCCGCCCTCCCACCCTGAGTGGTCCCACAGGGCCTTAAATGGTAGACGGAATACTGTTGTGAATGACCACTCTTCCAGCTGGAAAAGTACGACTCCCTGCATGGTTCTTAAACAGTCCCAGTGGCCTACCTCTGCGTTCTCTCCCCCAGGTAGCCAACAAAGTACTGTTGCCTCACAACCAGGTACATCAGTCCAGCAAAAGCCGCAGGAACTAAGTGGAGAAAGGAAAACACCTTGCGTTAGCGTCGCTGACACCAAAGCATGCTAAGTTAACCCAGTATTAATACAGTCATTATGCAATCAATGTTGGTCACGAAACTGAGCAGAGGCCTCAGCTTCTGCCAGTCGGGGCCGATGTGAAGTTCAGCAAAGAGCCTGCAGCTGGAAGAAACCTGAGATCTTTAATAATAGTCATGTTGCGAAGTAAGTCAGAAACAGAAAAACAAATACCGCATGCTAACACGTGTATATGGAATCAAAAAAAAATGGTTCTGAAGAACCTAGGGGCAGGACAGGAATAAAGATGCAGATGTAGAGAACAGACTTGAGGACATGGGGAGGGGGAAGGGTAAGCTGGGACGAAGTGAGAGAGTAGCACTGACATATATACACTACCAAATGTAAAATAGATAGCTAGTGGGAAGCAGCTACATAGCACAGGGAGATCAGCTCGGTGCTTTGTGACCACCTAGAGGGGTGGGATAGGGAGGGTGGGAGGGAGAGGCAAGAGGGAGGGGACATGGGGATGTATGTATATGTATAGCTGATTCACTTTGTTATAAAGCAGAAACTAACACACCATTGTAAAGCAATTATACTCCAATAAAGATGTTAAAAAAAAAAACTCAACAGAAAAAAAAAAACAAAACAATCTAGTTAGAAATTTAACAAAAGACATGAAAGGTATTTCAGCAAAGGGGATGTACAAATGGCAAAAAAAAAAAAAAAGCACATGAAGATTACTCTCATTAGACATTATAAGGAAGCACAAATTAAAACGATAATGAGACATCACTACACACCTATCAGAATGGCTAACAAAAAATAACAATAACACCAAACACTGATGAGGCTACATATTGCTGGTGGGAATGTGAAATGTTACAGTCTGGTAAAGACGTCAAGAATTTCCTACAAAACTAAACATGGATTTACCATATGGTACAGCAACTGTACACCTGGGCATTTATCTCAGAGAAATAAAAAATTATGTTCACATAAAAATAATAAGAATAATAGTCATGTTACCCTGTATTGGCATCACGGTGTAGTTTACAAAGTCTTTTCAAACCCTTCATCTAATTTGACTCCTTTTCACATGATTGATATCATCTTTTCTATTTCCAGATGTGGAAACATGGGCTCCATTGGCCAAGGGGCTTGTTTAAGACTGTCAGCTTGTAAGTGTGTGTGTGTGTGTGTGTGTGTGTGTGTGTGTGTGTGTGTGTGTGTTTGGGAGGAGAGCTGGACTTGAACCCAGAGCCCTGCTCTGAAGCTGGTTCTCTTCAAAGTACACCCTTCACCTGTGGGCCTCCAGGAATTGCAACGTGCAACCTTTTCTGAACAATTGCTACAGTTCAGGAAAGATCTCTGGGGAAAGAAATGCCCTTTGCATTCCAGCCAAATAACCCCATGGAGGCCTGAACACTTGGAGCTGAGAGTTAGGAAACCCAGCCCCACCAGGACTATTACGGTCTGGAGCTAATGTTTAACTCATTCCGCGTCTGGACAAAGGGCTGATTACAGCTTTCCTACCTATCAGGAATTAATATGCAGGTGAAACAGAAGTATGGGTATAAAAGCTCTGTGAAAACCCCCCAGCGTTATTCAAATACCAAATTAAGTGCATTAACCGAGCACTTTTTATGCGTCACGTACTGCCCGAGGCATACCTGGTACTCTGGTCTCCGATCCTCTCTTCTCTGAAGGTCACAAAATTGTCACAATTCACAATTTGCCTTGGACAAAGTCTTTCCTGGTTGGTCCCTTCCGGGTGGCTCTGCTCTACCTTACCGACCCATCTCTCTTTCACTGGGAGCTAAGGTGAATATAACCTAAAAGAAACCAGGGTGCAAAGTGGCTGAACTCCTTGCCCATGTGCAGGGAATGGCGCCCCCCTCTGGTGTGGACCTGGGCTGCTTGGAACACCAGGAGAGGTGTCGTGGATTCAAATCCAGGGTCTAAAATTCTCAGGTTTGAGCAAGTTCCCCTGGGGTTTGGGTTCCTGCTCTGTAAAGTGATGGGTTTGGGCTGGGGCTCCTTTCACCTAAAAAATTCTACAATCTACCATATTCATGGGAAGTGATGATTATTGAACAGGGGTGACTGACACTTCTGTCTCCCAGCAATGCCAACACTTGTTTTGGCAGAAAATGCATATTTCCAGCACCCTGAAACCCCTTCCAACTCCCTTTGTATTTAACTAACCAGAACAACTCCAGATTCACCTGTATCAAGTATCGTCTAAGACATAAAAGGAAGCATCTCTCCTACTCTAAGTGTAGTTTGACTTGACTTTTCAAGTGATGCCAGACATGTTTCTTATTTAACTGAGGACAGAAAGTGGGAAATAAAGAGTGAGCTTACTGACAGCCTTACAGCGCACATGATATTCCTGAAGTGGTTTCTGCTACCATCCCTCACCTCTCTTCTCTCTCACTGCACCTTATTCTTTTCCTTCATGGCATGTCTCACTCTTGGCAAAAATTTATCCATTCATTTATTTTCTATGGTCCATCTCGCCAACTGCTGTGTGCTTCACCACCATCTCTGTTTTATTTATCGCTGTGTATCCAGGGACAGGGCTTGGCACATAGTAGGTGCTCAATGTATATTTTTATGGAAATAAATAAAGTAAGAGGATACTTGTGAAAAATCCAGGATTTAGCCTGAAAGACCTGGGCTCCCATCCTGGCTCTGTTATTCACCAGCTAAGCAACCTTGAAAAAGTCACTTTATGTCCCTGAACCTGTCATAAAGTCACTTTATGTCCCTGAGGGTCCTCAAAGGTAACAGGGGGAAATAATATCTACTTTACCTACTTTATAGAATGAGTGAAGGCAATAAGGATGAAATCATTTATCAGAGGACACTAGTGGCCTTTCGTCAGGTACCGCTGGGCCACAGCATGGAAGCCGGCCAGGTCATGCCGAGCCTTCACCAGACACAGGGCCAGTCTCCAAAGGGGACCAAAAATACCACACAGGGACTTCCCTGGCGGTCCAGTGGAAGACTCTGTGCTTCCAGTGAAGGGGGCGCGGGTTCGATCCCTGGTCTGGGAACTAGAGCCCATATGCCGCGTGGCACGGCCAAAAAGAAAAAAAAAAAAAAAACCACCACTCAGGTTTCCATTTAATTTTAAATCAACTCTGGGTGTCAACGTGCTGAAGTCAAGACCGTGGGCTGCTAAGAACCGGGGAGGCTGGAGACCTGGACCGAAGAAGGACCACCATGCAGAAGCCGATTGGCAGGACAGCCAAGTGACAGCTGGCCCAGAATAGACCCCTCGGGCGCTCTCATTTAGAATGCCCTTGCATCTGAGCTAACACGGCTTAAGGATTCTGAGCCACATTTAGCCTTAAACCACCCTTGTCAGCGCAGCCACTCTCCACCAGCCACCAGGGGGGCAGCATTAGCGACGCATTACCGCAGGGCTCCGCGCGGGCGCCGCGCCCGCTGAAACACAGCCTCCGGGGAGTCTCGCCTCTCCAGGGCTTCATGGATTGGAGCTGGAGGGCAGGCAAAGCCTTTTCAGCAGAAAGCCTGCCCTCGAAGCTCCTGGTGATGCATCACGTTTCAGAAAGCGAACACGTAGGAGAAGCCTGGGTTACCTTGGCTGCAGAGAAGACCGGCGCTCCAGAGCGTGACGAGGAAGGTGGGGTACGCATCCACACAGTTCTGGCTGTAGGATAAACACACAAGGGGAAACGTCAGAAGACACGTTGCTGCAGCGCAGTCTGAAAATTACCTGAAACCCCGAATTAATCATCACTGTCGCGCACAGCCAAACCCCATTCATAATTCCACTGACCTTTACCTGATAAGACGTCAGAAACAGACAGCGGTGTGCGTAAAGCGGACACGGGTTCGGAAACCATCCACTCCCCTCCTCGGTGGAGCCGCTCGGAGACCCACTTTCTTGACGGTTTCGCCTTGGCAGGATTCCTGCTCCCGGTCACGCCAAAGCGCTTCTTGGAATTGAAAAGTGAGCGCTGCGGACAGCAGGTTGCCGGAGCAATGGCCTTGTGCAGGGCTCAGTCCTCACGCCCGTGCTGGTGTCTTACACCCTTGGTCTCCTTTAAACTCGAGCAATCCTGTGAGCACACATGGTGACTGCATGCGTTTCCTGGGGCTGCTGGGACAACTAGCCACAAGCTCAGTGGCTTAAAACAAGACAAATTGATTATCTGGAGGTCAGAAGTCTGGGATCGGTCTCGCTGGGCCAAAATGAAGGTGTCCACATGGCTGCTTTCCTTCTGGAGATGCGTCGCTTCTGTCTCCTTGCTTTTCGCAGCTTCTAGAGATCGCCTGCATTCCTTGGCTTGTGGACCCTTCCAACCTCAAAACCAGCAATGTCTGATCATGTCTTCTTTGCGACACCAACTCTTCTGCCTCCTTCTTCCACATTTGAAGGATCCTTCAAATGGGTCCCACCCAGATAATCCAGAATAATCTCTTAAATTGAATTTAAATTCAGCTGGTTAGCAACCTTGATTCCTCCTTGCCACGTAACATAACCCATTCACATGTTCCCGAGATTAGGATGTGAACACCTTTGGGGGTCGTTATTCGACCTACCACAATTAGTCTCATGTTTCAGATGAGAAACTGAATCTTGGAGAAGTTGAATAACTTGCGCAGGGTCACCCAGCTACAGAGTAGCAAAGCCAGGATTCACAGCCTGGTCAGTACGACTCTAAAACCAGGTGTGTTACCTCTTCGACTCTACAGGCACACCTCAGAAATAGCGCGGGTTCAGTTCCACACCACCACGATGAAGCAAATACCAGATAAAGCAACTCACAGGAATGTTTTTGTTTCCCAGTACACATAAAAGTGATGTTTATGCTATACTGTAGTCCACTGTATGTGCAATAGCATTATGTCTAAAAAACAAGGTACATACCTTAATTTAAAAATATGTTATTGCTAAAAAATGCTAACCATCATCTGACAATGCAGGGCTGCTGCAAACCTTCAATTTGTAAAAAAAACAAAAACAAAAAACCCCACAGTGTCTGTGAAGCACAATAAAAAGAGGGATGCCTGCACTAAGGCAAACAGCAAGTGTTCTCGAGTTTACAGCCTAGATCAGAACAATCAACATGTACATCCATGGAAACACAACACAAGAAGACCCAAAAGAGGAGAGCAATGCAATAGAGCAGGAAGGATTTCGTCCCCCACCTGACATTAACCTGCTGTTTGTCACTGGCAAAGCAATCTCTCTGGACTTAGTTTCCTTACCAGTTAAACTAAGAGACTAATACAGAGTAACGCTGAGATCCACTTAAGCTCTAAGAGTCCATGGTCTAATGTACTGGTTCTCAAGGTGTGGCCCCTGGATCAGGGGTCACATCAGAATCACCATGGAACTTGTTGAAAATGCAAATGTTAATGCCTTCCTTGGACCTAAGGAATTAAAAACGCTGAGGGCGGGCCCAGCAAGAGTTTTAACAGCCCCCCAGGTGATTCTGATACGTACTCAAGTTTGAGAACCACTGGCCTAAGGTAATTCGAACTGTATAGGTAAAAGCAAAGATGCAATTTTCAAATTACATTTGGCCTTTTATCCAAATTCCTTCCTTGGATTCTTCATCTGGATCCTTCCTGATCTGGTTCTCATAGAGTTCCTCCTAAAAATCAGCCTTGAAGCCTCGTTCAAACCAATAGGATCTCACGATTCAGCTGGTACCACTGAGAACCCTGGAATGACCAGCCTTTGGTCTGTCCCCTGCAGAGAACCCAGAGGTTGGGTCACGGGGGCCTTCAGATCTTTCTGATGGTCAAAAAATCCTTTACTGGAGAAGTCAACAAGTGGAAAAAGGAAGAAACCAATGTACCCTGTCCTGGATAGACACAGATAGAGAGCCAGAAGAGCCCTGATGACACTGCTGGGGGCTCTGGATACCCAGGATTTCCACTGATCTATGGACACAGTAAGAACTCCAAAGGGCGGGAGTCCCTTACAAATCTGCCATTTGCGGTGAAGCACCTAGTGAGTAAACAAGCCCCAAAGTGATAACTGTAGCAGCCGCTAAGCAACTGCATCACATCCATTCTTACACCTCATTAGAGACACAAAACTGCAGCCTCAGGACTGAGAGAAGATCCATCTCCCAGTTCCAGAAAACTAGAGAGAACATTCCCTTTTGTTTAGTTGAATGATGTTCCATGTCTGATGGGATCTAATACCTGACGCTCCAACAGTTTGAAAATCTATTAATATCAAAGCTCTCCCCTGCTTCCTCTCATTCTCATGCTTCTGTTTTGTTTGTTTTGAAGTTGTGATTTTGTCTGGGTGATGCAAAATTTTAAAAAATTCTTTATTGTCCAAGGGATGTGCTCATAGAAGTGTCTAGTGACGTGGCATTAGATCAGCCATTCAATCATTCCTGCCTCTTATATCAAGTCACCATGGGCCCTGGTACAACACAGTCTGTCTAGAATTGAACGAAATTCTCCCAACTCTAAGAAAATGGGCTCTTCTCTGGATTTCCAGAATACGCCCAGAAACCTAACCCCCACTCTGGCTCAAGCCCGTCGCTCTCCCCATGCAGGACCTCTGACACATCTTCCATCCACAGCTGCGTGCACACACGCCCCTCCTCGCCAGAGGGCTGCTGCTGCGCTGAGCTCAAGCAGCTTTTGTCCTTTGGTCAGTGACACAGCTGCCTTTAGGGACCTTACAGGTCACTCGTGTAGTCCCGAAAGTCACAAAGCCTGGGTCCCACCCGGGGCTGCCACTTTTTTTTTTTCAGTATTAAAATGTTTAATTTTACATTGTCTTTACCACCTTTAATCTTCTTTTTTTAACATCTTTATTAGAGTATAATTGCTTTACAATGGTGTGTTAGTTTCTGCTTTATAACAAAGTGAATCAGCTATACATAGACATATATCCCCATATCTCCTCCCTCTTGCATCTCCCTCCCACCCTCCTTATCCCACCCCCTAGGTAGTCACAAAGCACCAAGCTGATCTCCCTGTGCTATGCGGCTGCTTCCCACTAGCTATCTATTTTACATTTGGTAGTGTATATATGCCCATGCCACTCTCTCACTTCGTCCCAGCTTACCCTTCCCACTCCCCATGTCCTCAAGTCCATTCTCTATGTCTGCATCTTTATTCCTGTCCTGCCCCTAGGTTCTTCATAACCATTTTTTTTTTTAGATTCCATATATATATGTTAGCATACAGTATTTGTGTTTCTCTTTCTGACTTACTTCACTCTGTATGACAGACTCTAGGTCCATCCACCTCACTACAAATAACTCAATTTCGTTTTGTTTTATGGCTGAGTAATATTCCACTGTTATATGTGCCACACCTTCTTTATCCATTCATCTGTTGATGGACACTTAGGTTGCTTCCACGTCCTGGCTATTGTAAATAAAGCTGCAATGAACATTGTGGTACATGACTCTTTTTGAATTATGGTTTTCTCAGGGTATATTCCCAGTAGTGGGATTGCTGGGTCGTATGGTAGTTCTATTTGTAGTACTTTAAGGAACCTCCATACTGTTCTCCATAGTGGCTGTATCAATTTACGTTCCCACCAACAATGCAAGAGTGTTCCCTTTTCTCCACACCCTCTCCAGCATTTACTGTTTCTAGATTTTTTGATGATGGCCATTCTGACTGGTGTGAGGTGATACCTTACTGTAGTTTTGATCTGCATTTCTCTAATGATTAGTGATGTTGAGCATTCTTTCATGTGTTTGTTGGCAATCTGTATATCTTCTTTGGAGAAATGTCTATTTAGGTCTTCTGCTCATTTTTGGATTGGGTTGTTTGTTTTTTTGATATTCAGCTGCATGGGCTGCTTGTAAATTTTGGAGATTAATCCTTTGTCGGTTGCTTCAAAATATAGGCAAATATTTTCTCCCATTCTGAGGGCTGTCTTTTCATCTTGTTTATGGTTTCCTTTGCTGTGCAAAAGCTTTTAAGTTTCATTAGGTCCCATTTGTTTATTTTAGTTTTTATTTCCACTTCTCTAGGAGGTGGGTCAAAAAGGATCTTGCTGTGATTTATGTTTTCCCCTTAGAGTTTTATAGTGTCTGGTCTTACATTTAAGTCTTTAATCCATTTTGAGTTTATTTTTGTGTATGGTGTTAGGGAGTGTTCTAATTTCATTCTTTTACATGTAGCTGTCCAGTTTTCCCAGCACCACTTATTGAAGAGGCTGTCTTTTCTCCATTGTATATCCTTGCCTCCTTTGTTATAGATTAGTTGACCATAGGTGCGTGGGTTTATCTCTGGGCTTTCTATCCTGTTCCATTGATCTATATTTCTGTTTTTGTGCCAGTACCATACTGTCTTGATTACTGTAGCTTTGTAGTATAGTCTGAAGTCAGGGAGCCTGATTCCCATAGATCCGTTTTTCGTTCTCAAGATTGCTTTGGCTATTTGGGGTCTTTTGTGTTTCCATACAAATTGTGAAATTTTTTGTTCTAGTTCTGTGAAAAATGCCATTGGTAGTTTGATAGGGATTGCATTGAATCTGTAGACTGCTTTGGGTAGTATAGTCATTTTCACAATGTTGATTCTTCCAATCCAAGAACATGTATATCTCTCCATCTGTTTGTATTGTCTTTAATTTCTTTCATCAGTATCTTATAGTTTTCTGCATACAGGTCTTTTGTCTCCTTAGATAGGTTTATTCCTAGGTATTTTATTCTT